TGTGTGTGTGTGTGTGTGTGTGTGTGTGTGTGTGTGTGTGTGTGTGTAAAGCTTCTTTGCTCTTCGCTGTGAGGAAGGTGGAAATATGGTGAGATATAACAAACAGATTGATCACAGCTGCATGCAGCACTGGGCCTTCATGTTATATCCAACACAAAGGATAACTGCTTTAATTTGTTGTTTAATAAATCTATTCTTCCTCCACTTTCTGCTTCTTTTCAGACATCAGAATACTCGGCCATGGCCTCACTAGCAGGCGGACTGGACGAGATGAAGAACAGTTTGGCCAATCAGAGCGCAGGGGCTGAGTTAGGAGCTAACGTGTCCGGTCCACAGTCCTACTCACTAGTTCCAGGTAAAACCAAAGCACTCTACTACTACTTTTCCCTGAATGATATTTTGGCTCTTGTTTCAGACGTTGCTATCAACGTGTTCTTTAAAAGATTGTCAGGATATGTGGAAGTGAGTTTGTGTGCTGTAGTTATCAGTAGTCAAGTGTCTCACCTGCAATAGATAGCTGTCAAAGCAATCTTAATTCTAAAAATCAGAGAGAAATTCATATAAATGATTAACAGAATGGGGCTGATTCCAGAGAGAATGGCTTTGGAAATAATTATAACCTTATTTCAAAGTTTTGCTGTAGATTTCTATATCACGTTATTTTTGTATTCAGTAGTTACATATACCGCTATATTTAACATGAATGTATTGAAACATGGAACATGTTGCAATGAATCAAAGACAATGATAATAACACAGCAGGTCTTCAGTGCAAATATCTGTAGAGACCTGAAAAAATTAACATTAAAGGGTTTTGTTATATGACATTTCTGAGGTTTGTGTTGTTTTCAATTAAATTTACTCTTGAACTGGCCCCAGTCTGAATAGTTGTTGACAACTCCATGAGAGGTCTCCCCTGATTCTTCCAACCTTAATTGTGACTCTTGTTTACATTGAATGTTGTATTTTTTGGTAATCATTGTGACTGAACTCAAGAATTACACCTATTTAATACTCAATACGTAGTACTTTTTGTAGACAAAATTTGAAATCCTGTGGGCTGGTTGTAATGCTAAACAAAACTTAAAGTACTTTCACAGCAATTAGTTTATATTCACTGTTGTCATTTAGCTATAATCAGTTGGAGAGAGATGAATAGCAACATGTTGAGGAATAATATAAATCATCTAATCTCTTTAATGATTCAAAATAACTTGCATTGAAGGAGTTCAGTGAATTGGAGACAAATTTAAGAGCCGTTTGATTTAGGGATGCACAATATTGGATTTTTGGCCCATATCCGATATGCCGATATTTTAAAAGTTATTTGGCCAATGACCAATACAGATATTTTATACATGTTCCTTTGTCAGAACATAGTCCTCTTATTTAGGCTTATTTGCTACAAAAATTGTGCAACAACTGTAAGAGCTGGTGACAAATATTCAGTAACAGCCATATGCACAACTCTTTGACTTATATTAAATGAAAAGTGTTAAATGTTATTTATTAGCATTAGTCACCTGCGATGCTGTCTCACTTGTTCCAGGTTTCTAGCTGCAGTGTGGGATCCTCTGCACTCCTGTGCATGAAGGACAGTCTTTTTAAGTTCACAGTTTTTGTCTATCCATTGTGCTGTAAGACTAATTATGCTAATGGGGCTAACACTTGATGTCTGTGGTAAAACTCACCCAAGTGCTATCGGCTATCAGCTTCGCAATGACGTCAGAAATGACGACACGTCGGAAAAATATCTCTGACTGGGGACGATGTAGCGAGGCTCAACATAGTCCAAAAATCTTTGGAATCCGACATCCTCAACGACAAAAAATAAAAATTCCACACCGCCGACATTTTGACTTTTTCCTCTCTGCCGTGATCAGATCAGGTAGGCGCGTGTGACATCATCACGTTGTGCTGGTGCTGCAGGCATCCTCGTCACTGGGTTGTCATACAAAAACAGCACCTTTTATATCTGTGAGTTATTTTGATGGAATGGCCGATGTCCGATATTTAACTTTAATGCTAATATCGGCCGATACTATGCCGATAATGTTGTGCATCCCTAATGAAAACAATTTATAAGCCACTACTGGCTGTGTCAGTGGTAAATCTAATCTGTGGGATTACTGGGATTTAAAGAAAGAGCCAAATATATTCAGCTAAAATAAAATATTTCAGTATTTTGTTTTGTTTTAAAATTTCAGTAGACTATGAGGATGCTGCATTTCAGATTTGTTAAATTGCTTGTTTTAAGTAACTGTGTAAGTTGGAGTTAATTATATTCTCATTTTCTTTTCTTCCTGTGTGGTAAGAAAAACTGTAGTTTGTAACTTTTACTCATTTGTGACGAGTCGAGCCACCAGTGATAAGACAGGAGCGCTCCGGGGGCCCAATCTGATTTCAGCACGTGCTGGTGCCCCCTCTGGCTCCGGCCCTGGATCTCCCCATAGTCCTATCATTTACATAATAAATCTGTAAAAATAATATCTAAACAGCAAAGTAAATATGTGCTTATTAAAACATCAATTAAATGTAGAATCACAACTATAATTTGAAAGCATGACACACAGTGAGCTGAATGGATTTTATTTTAGCAGTAATTTAAATGTTACAATCTAATTGACTAAAAACAAGAGCTGCTGACATCACTCAAAGGGAGGATGCTGAGGGAAATAAATAGTGGAAATATGTAGTAAAGGTAAGGGCCTCATTTACTTTCTCCCTCTAAGAGGGCTGGGAGAGGGCACATTAATTAAGAGTAGACCAGGGAGCACTTGGACAAGGTTTCGACGCTTCCATCCATAATAAGGCGAATCATTGATGTGGGAATTTGGGATGACTGGGAATGTTTTTTTAAACTCTCTGAACCCACTGAGGGATATTACCTGCACACGCCAGAGAAGAGAAAGAGACGGAGACAGTGTGAGAGAAAGAAGCGAGAGATAAAAAAAAGCATTACCATTTCTGCTTATGCATGCAAACACACACATTCATATTCACACACACACACCTTCTGAACATTTTGCATGAATTTCCTTGGCTGTCTTTTCCCTCAGAACAGAGCTCCCTCTAGGGGATCAGACGTCCATGTGTTTGACGCAGTCTTATTGCATCCTTCTAGTGTTGACGCTCCAGACACATGCTGCACAGCAACATCTACATGCTCAGCCTGTCTTTTGGGAGACTTTTTATATTTGCAGATTTTTATTTATTTTTTTTACTCTGAACTCCAGCCAGTGTACCAGAGTGCAAATCTACAACAAGGACACAGTGCGCAGAATGATCCCTCTGGGTTTGACACATGTTGCTCTGATGGTTGTCTGATGTGGACGTGGAAGATGGGCGGACGGAAAAAGACAGAAAATTCGTGTTCATCTGTAGCTGCAAGTGAGCGCGAAGGAGACTTGGGCTTGTTTATTGACCTCTAAAGCAAAGCTGTAGAGAACAGATACATCAATACAACTGGCATGCTAATGCACACATTCACAGCATGCACACACAGAGACACACATCTCTGAGGATCTGGCCCTGTCTGCCCTCTCTAAGTTGGCTGCAGAGTCCATCTCTCCTCTCCTCCGCCCTCTCCTCGGTGCCCTGTGCACTGACCCTGAGCGGATGAGTAGCCCGTCTGCACTAATGCCTCACTGTCGCGTCAAACACCGAGAAAAACTTTACTACACAAGACAAGCGAGAGGAGGCGGAGAGGGACAGGGGGAAGCTGCAGCAGAGACAGGATCTGTGAGAGAAAAGCACATCCAGGGAGGGAGACAAGGAGGCAGATATAAAAATAAAAAAGATAAAGGAGCCTTGTTTAGATGCATCAGCCATCATCTCTAAATCTTCTTATTTTCTGCATGATGCTTCGTCTCATGTCAATCGACAATGTGAGAATTTGAACATTGCATCTAAAATAAAATATAAAGTATTTTTACAATGACTCTCTTTCTCGAGGAACATGTTTGAGGATTAGATTAAATTCTGCAAAAGCAAAATGAACTATTTTAGTGTAAATCATCTAACCGCTCTTGCTTTGAGTAGAATATCATAAAGGTACTGCTAAACATTGTAAGTACTTCAGGCAATGTTCAAAAACCTGTTGTTGTTCTGCAAACTGCTTACAAAGACTGAACTAGACAAATCATTCAATTTGAGCTTAAATGTGTCATTTTACTGACATGTTTTGTGAGCTTGAATCTTTTTTTGGCTGCAAGAAGCCTCACAAAGTGCAAACTTTAGCATCACAAATAAAAGAGACATTCTTACAAGAAAATTATTGGTGCACTGATAAATATGGCAGTATTAAAAATATTTAGAATTATTTTGTTATGTTGTTTTGCAAACCAGCAATAAATAGAGTGGCTTAAAGCTTTTTTTTAAACTCTCCCATGTTAAACTCCTATTGATTGTTGTACAGGACATATTGTGTTGCATGTTTAATTTATAAGTTGTATGAGTGTAATCTATATTTTTAATATGTTCAGTATTAAATATGCATATTTGTATGAGTGTTGTTTTCATCTAGCCCGCTGTCGCTCCTTCTTGGCCAGATGGTAACTGTAAATGAGAATGAGTTCTGTACTGACTAACCTGAATGAATAAATGTTACATAAAAATAAAATATCACTGTATAATACACTGTATAAAAGCACACAACACGTTTGACTAAATTTACGTGTATCGATGTAACTAAGCTTACGTGATTTTGACGCAGGAAAAAAACTTTGACAGATGACTAGTGCAATTCTTAAAGCATTCACGTGACCTCTTAATCTTTAGATTTCTGTTTATATTTTGTTACGATACATTTTCCGTTCCCTCTATCTTCTCCGATCTCTCCCCACCTTCTTTCTCCTTCATCCTCCTCTGCCTCGTCTGTGCTGGTTAAGTGGAGGTAAAGTGAATGGGATTGATGGGGTTAGAATCTGAGCTGTTTATGATGATGATAAATGTGTGTGTGGTGTACATGATGATGAATGGAGGGAAGCGTCTCCATGCACGCCCAGTGTCTACTGCGAGCAAACAGAGAGAAATGATTTGAGGCGACACACTGTCATGTAGTCTAATGCAGTTATATTTCCTCTCCACCTACTGACAGACACGAGACGGAGGGGGAGGGAGGAGTCAGTAAATTATTAGATGCCACAGGATGGAAACAAAAGAAGATGCATCCTGAATGAATGAGCTGATGAAAGTGTGGCATCTTGATGCTGCAACAGTTTGGGCGTTCTTTGAGATGCCAGTGGTGGAAAAATAAATGTTTTCTTGTGTCGATAAATGCACTACGGTGTAAAAAAATAAAAGATAAAAAAGCAGAACAAGTACTTCTGTTGATATCAAAATTAGAGCTAAAACATTTTACCGTAAATTTTGTGATTTAATTCAATAATCGTCCATCCCTTTTTTAAAGCCCGAGGTCCAAAACCAAAAGAACGTTCCATAACTTATAAAAACAGACCAGATAATAACATAAATAATAACTGCTGAAAAGTAGAAAATAAAATAAATAAATAGATAATTCAAGCATGCATTGAAATGCGTGATGCTGCTTTATGAGCATTCCTTGACAGAAGTATTCAAACACCTGAAATTTACGCCTTAAACCATTTGAAACCAACAAGAAACAGCATAGCACCGTCTGACGGTCATGAACTATTAGACATTTAATTTAATTCATTCAACTAGCTGGGATGGGGGGGGGGGGGCAGCACGGTGGCACAGTTGGTAAAGCTGATGCCTCTCAGCGATCAGGTTGCCTCGGTTCAAATCCCAGCTGGGTGGACCTTTCTGGGTGGAGTTTGCATGTGCTCTCCATGCGTGGGTTTTCTCCAGGTACTCCAGTTTCCTCCCACAGATACAGATGTATGTTAGACTGATGGTAACTCTAAATTGTCCCTAGGTGAGGGTGAGAGCATGAATGGTTGTTTGTCTCTATGTGTCCCTGTGATGGACTGGAGACCTGTCCAGGGTGTCCCCCGCCTCTCGCACAGTGATGACTGGATATGGGCACCAGTCACCCCCACGACCCAAAAAGGAAGAAACTGGTAAAGAAGATGGATGGATGACTGTTATAGGATGAAATAAGAGCACAAGTCATAAAAGTCATAGCAATCTCATTAATGCTCAACAATTAGAAGTTTTAATGGTTGCAATAATATTAAGTGAGTAATAGTAGTTAGGCAACGCAAAATGTCATAGGAGAAACAAATGGAATCAATATTGTGTTTCTTAAATATACATTAAAAATGTCAAAGCACCTATTTCCACCAGTTCCACTTAAAGAAAGAGTTGCTCAGAGTTGCTTTAATGGCTTCAGTCACCATCACAGCTGTGGCAACTGGATCACAGTTTAGTCCAAGTTGGTCATTTTCCACTTTAGGAAGACGTGAGTCCGTTTAGGCCACCATAAAAGACGGGGGATCGTGTAATAGCCTGTATAAGTGTTCATTTGTCGTTCCATTTGACTGTTAGCAAAATATCTCATGAACCTATGGGCAACGTTTAATGAAACTCTCATAAAGTTTTTGTTGGATGAATGATTAACTTTTGGAGTGAAGCTGATTCAAGATGGATGCCACAACTAACCAACCTCAGTATCTCACTGGACTGTGACTGTTGGGAGACTGAGACCGGTGAGAGAGTCTCCAAAATGTCTCGAAACAGTTGCAGGAGTTGTAAATTTTTGTGTTGCTTGAGTCTTGAAGATGTAAAAGTTTGAAAAAAAAAGCTTCAAAACTGACTAGATAAACTCAAAGCTGATTGTTTTTAATTTTTTTTATGTGGAACAAGTATTTGAAAAAAACAGCAAAGAAACAGAACGTGTGAAAAAGTAATGAAAATAATAGCTAACCACCTTTTTAGACTCTGACCTCAGAGGCAGAAACAACAACATGGGGACTATATGAGTTATCTAAAATGTTGCTATCACAGTCTGATAACTAAATGATTACACTCAGAACTGTCAATTGTTAGGAAAGTACAGAAGTTTGATCATAGTCAAGAGTTCAACTACTACAAGAACACAAAGCCTCAAAGAAACAACCTTCAGTCATTCATTTCACCTTCTATCTTCTCAAAGACATGTAGATAAAGCCTTTGCTGTAATTCTGTCATAACAGTGAATAAACAAAAATAAAATTAAAAAATGTGAATTAAATCAGTAAATAAATACAAATTAGTCATCTGGAGGAAATGTTTAAAACTCGTATTGTTCAGCCACTGATCCACCTGATCAAAAACACAAACAACAATTGGTGGGTTTTTTTTTTTTGGTTTTTTTTTGTAAAAATCTAAATTTACAGAGTTTAATGCAGAGTTTAAAATGATATGTAAATTTCAAACTGTGAGCTGGGCAACAACAAATAAAAGATCAAAACCATCTGCACTAAAAAGAATAAATGTGATGATAAATTAGACATTGTTCTGATCCTGACGGAAAGGCTTAAACATCTGTGTGTGTATTTGTGTGTGTGTGTGTCACAATAGGTCGAGACCTTGCCAGCACAACTCTGCCAGGCTATCCCCCTCATGTCCCCCCCACTGGACAGGGCAGCTACTCCACCCCCTCCCTCACTGGAATGGTACCTGGTGAGTATGAACACAAACATGCCGCAATTATTTTAAATAAATCAGTTTCATTTATGGTACCTAGTACCAAGTCACTGCCATGGGGCAAAAACTGAGCAAACATCTGGATACGGTGGGAAGAAAAATGTCTTTGACAGAAAGAAAAGGTCACCTGCACGCAGGTTCACCTGAATCAAATGTCGGGGGGTGGGGGGACAAGACAAGACAGAGAAAAACACTCATAATTTGTGGTGAAATAGGACTAAAAACAGGAACATAAGGTGGCAGCAGGCAGGTAGGGGGTGGAGCCAGAACATGTTTGTTTATTAACAAACAAACGGAATCAAAACAAACTGAATTAAAACTTTGAGGACAAAAAAAGAAAAAAAAAACATAAAAGGGCCAAACAGGTAAGGAACGACAGGAAAGTGATGAAAAAGCTAACTGAAATATCAAGAGGAATAGATCATGAGCTCACAGCAGGTGTGACGAGCAGAAACCAGGTGTGACAGGGCGGCTCAAAACAACGTTTATAGAAACAAACTACGAAACAGACTGGGTAAATACAGGCGTGAACCAAAAACCAACATGAGACCTATAGAAGTTACAAGAACGATACCTAAAGATCACAGAAGAGCCTCGATGATCAGTAACTGCAGAGCAGCTTCAGAGTCAGAACATAACGAGTCAAAAGACAAACTTTAAATCAAACGTTCACCTCGAGTCTCTCTTTTTGTTTCCAAAAGCCAGAAAAGTATTAAAGCAGTCTCTCACTGTGCTGTCACTGATGGGGTTTAAATGTCTCAAAATGTTTGTGAGGGTTCTCAGTATCTTTGTGTGAGTAGCAGAGGAGCCCAGTCCTTCAAACATGGTCATAAAACTAGTTGCACATGTTTTCTCTCAAAGTAGTTACAACGCCATCGCCAGCATCTCCAAGTGGAGTCAAGAGTGCTGGAGCTGTTTTTTGACACGTGCACAAAGAGCTCTCCTCTGACAGAAAACATGTCCCAGTCTAAAAAACCCCACAAAAACTACAACTTTTAGGAAATGTTTAAGAAAGATACTGTGTGAACTGTGAGACGGGAGGGATTGTACTTCCCACAAGGTGCCACTTGGTGGAATTTTGTATCAGGTTGGCTTTTAGGACTTTGTAGTCTTTTTTGAGCCAGTGCTAAGGAGTGAGTGGCAGAGCTCACAGCAACCCTGCTGGGGAGGGTACTATAACCTACTGTTAGGGAATTTTTGGTTAAAATTTGGATTTTTATAACTACTATGGATGAGAATGTTTGTCCATGAACCATATGTTTGAGTTAGCAGAGAGAGCTGAATGAGGAGCTGATTTGAGACTGCAGTTGCAGCTGGCACTCTAAAGCCCCTTATCCACAGGGCCGGTTCTTGTTGGACCCTGTTGTGTCCGGTTCTGCTGGGACCTCTTTTTTTCTGTCTCCACAGTGCCCATAGTTCCCGTTTAGTGGGCGGATTGTTCACCTCTAGTGGACGGATTATTAATATCAACGCACCTTACCAGCTGGTGGCGCTAGTGCTACATTAAGCTCTTTTCTAAGCACCACTAACATGTATTAGAAGAAGAAGAGCCGGAAAACAACACACAACCAAAATGGATGACCTCCTTGATCTCCGCCCTCCACCAATGAATACGCCCCCAGACCAATCAGTGACCAACAGTGTGCTGATGTCACATCTAGACCCAACAAGAACCAGACCTGGGACCTCAGAGAAGTAGGTCCCAAAAATGGGGTGGGTTCCACCGCTGAAGGCACTGTGGATAAACCACGCAATCGGCCCGAACTAGTTACATAGGAGCCCCAAAAGACCCTGTGGATAAGGGGCTTAAGGTCACCTCCGAGTCTGTGAGCTTGGCTGAACTGATAAGTGTATAAAAACAAGCTGCACACACTGCCCGTGGCAGATTCTTGTGACTGGGCTTCATGCATGTACTTCCTGTATATCTGTGTAACCTGTCTGGAAAATCTGTCCTTGCAAGTAAAAAAAATAGATAAAAATCTTCTTCTGTCATTGAGTGCGGCTCCTTTTGAGTAAGTGAGATAAAGCAAGAATTATTTTCATCCAACAACTACTACTAGTAAACTATACTATCTAACAAGGTTAAATCAGGTCATTTGGACTGATTTTTCTTTGTTGAAACATCGTTATCCAGAAGACTTCTTCAGTCAAAAGACTGAATTCTTTTGGATAAAAGATGAAACGTTTAAACAAAGAAGAACCCGTCCAGAGGACCTGACTCAGCCTCGTTAGATTTATCTACCTGGATCACTGAGCATGCATCAGGATGATATAACTTTACTACTACAGCTACTAGAAAAAATGATGAAATAACATCCTTGTAAATACCAAAATCCAGGGTTTCTCAGCTGAACACTGCACTGTGATAAAACCAGATGTGATGCTTAATTTACCGTTCATGGTTCAATGTGCATGGTTCATAATGTTGTGGCTGGTTGGTCAATGCACACAGACAGTTTTAACTGCTCTCGTCACATCAACAGATCTATATGTACAGTTTTTTTTATAAAATATGTGTGTCTTCAGGGAGTGTACTTAGCTTTCTCACTTCTTCTTTCTTGTCTGTCTACACTGTAGCTGTCAGTGGTCCCAGGGGGTGCTGTGTGTGTGTTTGTCTATGTGTGCATGTGGTTGTGCCAGTGTGTCTCTCGGTGTATCATTAGAAACCAGCCACAGTAGCACAGCTGTCCCTCCTCAACATTAGTAATTTGTTTTTAATGAGAATCACCAGTGACCCACGACTAATTCATTCATTCCCTTCCACTCCTCCTTCCACGCGGCTTTTGTGTTTCAATCCTGGCACACCATCCACGCTCTCTCTTCTCTAAACGCCTTCGCCCAGGAGCCGTGGTCGTGGTCAGTGTTCGGCATGCTGGTGCAAAATAAAGGGAGAAGCACAGAACACAGTTTATGAAAACTATGCTGCTTGTAAGTTGTCTGAGTGTATTCCCAGTCAGTCGATATGTGAAACACACACATCTGTGAGCTGACACACACACACCGAGTCTCAGTGGACATGTAGGAACAGCGCGTCTAAAGACGGGTAACCCTGTCGCCCTGTCCCACTGCGCTCACGCCATCCTGTCCTCAGGTTTGACAGGATATTTGAGTGTGTGTTTGGGTTTGCTGCGTGCGGCTGTGTGTATATGTGTGTGTGTTTGTTTTTGACAGTGTCTGTGTTTGCGACCTTGACACCGAGCTACACGAGGGAGACCCTCTGAGCCTTCCTTCTACTCTTCTCGCCCCCTCTGCCTCCCGTCTTCTAAACAAGCTGACACGCTGCCGTCACCACGGCGATGACAAGGGGGAGGATGTTGGCACCCAGGGGTGCTGAGGAGGCCGCATCTCGACCCCACCTGACAGACGCAACTGAACATACACGCACAAGCAAAACTTGCACAAACAAAAACACACGAGCGGTGTCAGCGTTTGAGTTTCTCTGATTTTTTTCTTTTTGTAGCTTTAGAAAGAGATCATCTCCAAATTTCGCCTGCACAGCTTGTTTTATCTCAGCACTTCTCGGCCAAATTATCCACCTTTTTGTTCACTCTGTCTAATATCATACCTTCATTAAGCAAGCAACTCTGCTGCCGTTCTCCTTCGCTCTCTGTCTCCCTCTCTCTTTGCAGCAGGGGGGCTGACACTCAGAGGGGGTGTTGGAGAGCAGCGATGCAGAACCGACAGAACGAGAGGCAGGGAAGAGGAATGAGCTGGTATGGGCGGGAGGGAGGGGGGCATCAGGGTCTGTGACTGTCAGCTTTGGGAGAGGGATCCCCTGGGAGGGCGGACGGTTCAGGAGAAAACCAAAAGAAAGAACGAAAGACTGAAAGTAAGGATGGAGAGAAGAAACGGAGGAGAATGTTGTTTTGATGTGAAGAGTGTTGGGTGGGCTGTAGTCAGGCGGACCAGAGAAGAAGAGAGGAAAAAAAATTAAAAGGCGAGGGTATAGGGAGGTGAGGGAGGAGAAGACGTGAGGAAGAGTAGACCCCAGACAGTGAGTAGTAAATGAGGGAGAAAAGCTACCTTATCATCCACCGTATGGCAGGCCTGAGCTCTCCAGTTCATTCAGTTTCAACTAGTCAGCAATGTGCTGGAAACACGGGGCAGGAAAAACAAAAGATACTCAAATCAAAGGACAAGCGTTTCCATGAAGCAGTGAAGTCTGATCCTGGACCTCTAGAGCCACCACCCTGCATGTTTTAGATGCTTCTCTGCTTCGACATGCCTGATTTGAATCACTGGGTGACTACAGGCCTCTGCAGAACATGAAGAGGGAACTTAACCATTGAACCAAGTGTGCACGATGTGTTGGTGCCCAAGTGTTGACTCTCAGCTACGACCACGTCAAATCTTAGCTCAAACTCTGAGATTGACAGAGTTAGATTTTTTTTTGTTATAAGTTCAGTCGTCTGTGGCAGCCGTCTTGAATTGGATTGACTCGAAAAGTAATTCAGTGGTACATGTACATCCAAAGATTACTTTACAGGAGTTGCATTAAAATCCATCCCGTGGTTCATGATATATAGAGAAACAGAGCTCATGCCGTTAATGTCAAAGTTTTGAGCAAAGATCTTGCTCTATGTGTAGCACTCAGAGTACCGGTGTGTGTTGGGGATGACTCAGCTACAACACATTAAATTTGGTTCACAAGGTATTTTGCTAATAGACAGACTAATCTGCGCACATGCAGCAAAAACATTGTTGTCAACCTTTCACATTTTGGCAATGAGCAATAACAAACTTGAGAGCTTTGGAAAAGTACCGTAAGCTTTCTTAAACTTTACAAGCGTTGTAGCAATATTTGCATGATATCCTCTAAAAAACTTTTTTATGTAGGCGGTTAAAGATGGTTGTGGATTGTCCTATTCACTGAGCTGAGTAACACAAAGTGACTAATATAAAAGTTTCCTTTTGACTTCTCCCTTCTTCAGGGGTGGCCACAGTGAGGGAACTCGCATGTAAGCTCGGCAATTGTTTTACACTGTGTGCCCTTCCTGACGCAACCTGGGCTTGAAAGACCAAAGCACTGACCACCAAGCTACCACAACCATTATATACAAGCATAACATTCTTGATATAAACCAGTGTCCTCTGCTGTTACACCATGTTGCCCTATTAGCTCTAAAACAAATCATCCACCATAAAAGCTTTGCAGCCTATTTTCTAAAAGACGCCTTCTGTTCTGTCATTCCTAAACGTGCTCTATTTTATGTGATGTGCTTTCTTTCAGGGGGAGATTTTTCTGGAAGTCCATATTCCCACCCACAGTATTCTACGTACAACGAATCATGGAGATTTCCAAACCCCAGCCTATTAGGTTGGTGCATCCCTTCAGATGGGTTGTTATATCATTACATTTCATTTAGTTTTCCTTATCAGTTTCTACCAGTGGTGGGCTGTGCATGTTACACCTAGGCCTTTAGTAGTATCCTGCCTGGATTTATATACCATCATTATGACGTCATGGTGAGAGACCATCAATAATACACAAAAACATTGAATTATAGGGTGATGCATCACAGACAGGTGTCTCATGCAGTGAGAATGAACCATTCATTATTCCATGACCATATTATTGCCATAATGCCTTCACTAAAGAAAGAAACTCAATTAACACAATTCTCCTTCAGCTGCAGCCACAGCTATTGCACATACATATTTACTAAAAGCATCAATATGAATGTAACAAATTGAAAAAATTTACAAAAAATGTGAATAAAAATGTATTTTACTTACCAAAAGTTTTGATTATCTGTACACAAACTCCATCCTCCTTTCTTTTCTCAAGAAGAGTTAATTTCCTCTGTCCTAGAGGGCATCGTGGCGTCTCCGTTCCAACAATAAGTCCTTTTCTATTGCATGGAAGCTAACGCTGAACGTTTTATATAGCTTAAGGGATGAGAATGTCTGGTTTCTACCGACCTAATGTCTCATCTCCAATCATTTTTTCATTACTTTTAATTTCCTATTGTAGCTGAACAACTTGAAATCTAATGAAGAAGCTAAAACTAACAGGATAAATGCTAAGACCAGTCAAAAGGTATCTAAAAGCTAACACTAGCTGAACAATAGCTAATGAGATCTGTTAGCACTCAGAGTATGTGTTGTTGATGACTCTCAACTACCAACTCACTAAGTTTTAGCTCAGTATCTATAAAATTGACAGACAATTTTCGTGTTTGCTAAGATGACCATCCTGAATTGACTCCAAAAGTTCATCAGCTGTAAATGGACATCATTTAATGATTGCTTTGGACAAGTTTCATTAGATCTGTTCATCATTTGGGGAGTTACTTTATTTAAAGGTGAGGTCACCAGGGGGTGACGGTGTATAAACTAGAAGAGACGGGTCTGACAAAACTGTTTTAGGGGAACCTTGTACTCTCTTCTTCTCACCACTCCATTTCCCTCCTCGATTTTTCTGTCCACAGTGTTTCAACAAGATTATGGGTCTCTCCTGGGGACGGAGATCGGCTGCTCGTCTAGTCTCTTCACCAGCCAGGCAGGACAGATGCAAGGTAGGTGTAGAGGGAAAGAATATGTGAAGATGGTGCAAAAAATGTGGTTTAGCCTGATGGTGAATTTGAGGACAGGATACACATTGAAACTTACTGAAATAAGAAAAAGGCAGGGAAGTGTGAATGAAGAGAAGCAAAATTAAAGAAAAATGGAACTAAATGGAGAGACGTGAGGAGTTTGAAGTCCTGAGTGAGACTAAAGAGTTTGTCAGGTCGGCTTAATGCCTCACTTCCCCAAAGAGTCCCCTGAGATTACCTGGACTGCAGACATAACCTGTCAGCAAACAGCTTGTCTGATTGCTGGAAGAGGTAGAGACAGGTGTGAGTGCCTGCAGTGGTTTTTCTATTTTTCTGTGTGTATTAAGGAATGGGAGTGTGAAGTTTTGTGTGTCTTTGGGGTTACGGTATTGGATTGACCCCCTCTCCGGTGAGAGAATAGACTCAAGGGATCAGTGGTGGTAGAGCTGTTCTCAGGGTGTCAACTTAGACTGTCACTTCAGTGGTGCAAGTGTGTGTAGGTGTGTGCATGTGTGCGCATGAGTGTGTAAGGGCAAAAAAAGAGAGTGAAGGGGAAAAAAATCATTGGAGTTCATTTGACTGGTTGTACATGAAAGGGAGTCTATTTTGTCTGCCATTAGTTTCATCAGTGTATGTCATCTTCCTCTGCCTTTCATTGCTCTCATCCACAGTTAAATATTATCTGAACAGAAAATTGAAGCGGCTCATTTCACACTTACACTGTATTTTAAAGACAAATTCAGATTTATTACAACCTCAGTAGTATTTTTGTCATTTTAACCATCATTCCTATCTGTAATAGAAATAATCCTCTCCAGGGTAATGACTGAGATCTGCCAGCATGATGACATTGGGAGAAAAAAGAAAGAAAGAAATGAGCAGAAGACGGTTAAAGAAATTTCAAAAGATTTTTGGGTAGAGAGTGAACTGTATTCTTTTATTACTTATGACACTCTCTTTTTTTAGTTTTAGTTTTGAATCTGGTGATTAATTTTACTTTACTACATAGATCAAGTTACTTTGTATTATTATTACTTTTATTCCTACCATATCTCCCAAAAACTTAGTTTCAGTATGTAACATTACACAAGACCCAAGATGGGAGAGGCATAGATTCTCTGCCAAGAGGGTTCGGGACCTCACAGTCCTCAAGAGGTTTGGTGTGTTTGTGCCTGGGGAACCTGCAGAAGATAAGTGAGGTCAAGCTGTGAATCCCACCATGCCTCCTAGTTTTTCTGTGGCTGTGGGGATGATGGAGTTCATACACAGCAACTTACATCACTGAAAAGATGCTAGTACATTGTTGTGTACTTGCCTTTGCAGGATGCATACAAGCATAGCCCTCATCCAAGAGCCTTGGATAGTGAAAGCTATGGTACAAGGCCTGGAAATTCCTGGAAGCACGCTTTTATATGACATGAGCAGCCATAGACCCAGAGCAGCAGTAGCTCTGGCAAGAGACATGAGACACTTTCTACTGCACCACCTAACAACAGGTGAAGCTGTAGCAGTGCAATTGGTCATTCGGTCAGATGGTTAGTCCAGACCGAGTATCGCAGCTTCTGTTTATCTGCTGTTTGATTCAGAGCAGCCACTTCCATCACAGGAGTTGAAGGCAATAGTTGATTATGCTAAAGCTAGGGACCTCCCAATACTCATCGGTTGTGATGCCATCTCCAATGTGTGTGCTGGAGGAACTCTGATATTAACCCTAGAGTCAGATCTCTTAGAATATTTGCTGGTGGAAGACCTGCTTGTCTTTAATCAAAGCAATGTACCTACCTTCTATACTGCTACTAGGGAGAAGGTCATTGATAGAACAGTTGGGTCTATGGACTTGGTAAACAAAATATGTGACAGGGAGGTATCCTCAGAGGAAACTATGTCAGACCATTGGCAAATTCAGTTTAAGCTGAGGATGGGGAAGCCATGCCCAGTCACTTACAAAAAGCCCCCCAAAACTGACTGGAATATGTTTATCAGCATGCTATCCCAGATGATGGATGGGAGAATTGCCGGAATAAAAAATGGTGCAAGATATTGAGAAGTCGCATGCATGACTGTTGCTGTGCAACCTGCCCATAAGTCTGCCTGTCCAGAGAAAGCCTGGAGGCCGTAAAAGCAGGCAACTTGGTGGACTCCTGATTTATCTGGCCTCCACAGGGCAGTCAGAGGAAAAGGGCGAAGATATAGATCACAACTAAGCAAATCCAGGTGGAAACAGTATGTACAGTCCCACAGGTACTATAAAAGTGTTCTAAGGGAGTGTAAAAGACTTTCTTTGACAAAGTTTTTTGAAGATGTTAAAGGGCCTAGTGCTTCTTCTAAGCTTTACATGCTTTTCGGAAAGGATCCAGTCAACAATCTATCCTTAATTATTCCACCAGAAGGATCGCCAATCACACAAGCTTTAGGTTAATTTTCCTGTGGCATAAGATACTTCACAGCCTGTCACAGTTGCTAATTCCCTAAATCCAACAGAGGACAACTGGAGCAAAGCTGCAAACATTATTACTAAAGTCAAAGTAAATTGAGCAGTTAAGATGCTTGACCCAATTAAAGCTTATGGTCCAGATGGTATTTCTCCTCCTCCAAAGGGAACTAAAAATGATTCTGGACACAATAGCTAGAATATATTTTTGCTTGTCTAGTGAACAACTATATAGTATACCAGCTGGGTGGAGGACAACAAAAGTTGTCTTTCTGCTCAAACCTGGAAGGCCCTCATATAGAGAGGCAAAATCCCTTTAGCTTTCCATCCTTCCAGCTGAAGGGAATGGGGGGGTTGCTAGAAACTGGTCCAGATTACATGATTTAACCTTTTTTGATGGTATCCTAATGCTATCACCTGTAAGCCTTAAACAGCATCCATTTCAGGCTGGTCTTTCCATAGAAACAGCTCTACATGATATTTTGTGAATAGAACGCATTCTGGTATGGGAACAATATGCGCTTGGCTGCTTCCTGGACATACAAGGGGCTTTTAACAATGTACCTGTAGAAGTTATGGAGAGAGCATTTGTCAGCAAATGTATGGATGAGACAACTACAAATTGGCTCGTTTTCATGGTGACGGAAGTAGGAACTTTCTGTCATTCCAAACAAGACATAAGTGGTTCTTTTTACCCATAAGAAGTTAAGGAAGGGTTACTCACCTCCAAAGTTGGAGGGAGTAAAACTTTCCTTGTCAGTCTGTTAAGTTTCTGGGTGTCTATCTAGATGGAAAGCTCAACTGTAAAAGACATGTAAACAAAAATTGTAAAAAGGCCACGATATGATTACATCAGTGTTGTAGAATTGCAGGTAGTCAATCTTTATTGACTACGCCAATGTTTATCAGATGGATCTATATGACCATAGTCTGCCTCACGCTATGCTAAGCTGCTTTAGCATGGTGGGTCCATGGTGGATCCAAGTCCATGTCGGGATGCCAAGTTTGATGCTCACCCATGTGCAACAAATGACCTGCCTGAGTATCACAGATTCCATTAGAACAACACCCACAGTAGCCCTTGATGTCCTACTAGACCTGACTTCACTGGATTTGAACATCTTGGGAGAAGCCACATCCAGTGCAGTTAAGTTACACTAGTCTGGTAGGTGAAGAAGACTATAAGAGTTGCACCATACTCAAATCTGGGACTGGGCAGTTGCTGCTACTCTAGTAATGGCAGGACCTGGAGACAGTATGGTCAAGAAATACAACTTTAATCTAAGTTTTCAGACATAAATTGAAGCTAGATATGCCTGGAGCAACTTCTCTATAGTGGACTTGTCTTCCAGTTGTTTCTACTGTTTTACAGATGAATCCCTTCTGAAGGAGTCAGTAGGTACAGGTATTTTGCACAGCTATAGTGTGAGAGAGTACAGATACCCACTGGGTGGTTTTGCAACTGTTTCTCATATTGGTACCTGCAATCTGCCACTGTGTGATGTCTCTAACAGCTGCTATTAGAGCTCTCTAAGGGCCACACTTTACATCTTCTCTGGTTTGAGAGTGTGCCGAAGAAGTCAATCAGCTGGTGAGAGACAACAGTGTTACTGTTAAATGGGTACTGGGACATGCTGGTATCAATGGCAATGAAAGAGCTGACTACCTTGCAAAACCTGGCAGTCAGGCCCACTTAAAGGACCAGAGCCTGTTGTAGGTATTTCAATAAAAGTCTGCAGAACTGCCCTACAGGTCATTAGACATCATCACTCAGTCTGTTGGAGGGAGCTGATGGACTGTAGCACGGGAACAGATTAATGACCCAAATCTTTGGTTTGGGAAAGCTGTCATCGCGCTGACAAGGAAAATGAGAACTAAATTCACATTATGACAGAAATCCATGAACTTCACATGTCAAAATCACGTTTTGCACATGCTTATACAGTGATTATTTTCACAGTGATACTCTTGATTAGGGATTCATGAGTCCAACAGCCTCAGGGTAGAAGCTGTTCCTCAGTTTAGTGGTTCTAAACTTAATTCTCCTCAACCTCCTTCCTGAGGGGAGCAAGGCAAAAAGTGTGTGTGCTGGGTGAGTGGGGTCCTTCATGATGCAGGTGGCCCTCTTCCTGCATGTAGAGGTGTAAATGGGGAGTGGTGGCGCAGAGGTTAGAGAGGTGGGCTTGTGATCCGAAGATCGCCGGTTCACGCCCCGGCCCCGACAACATCAAAATTGTGGGTGGGGTAGGTGAAACACCCACACTTGCCCCCACCCTCATTCGCCCCACTCTTGGCCCATGAGCAAGGCCCTTAACCCCCACCATGTGCTCCCTAAACAGGTCTCTCTTGAAAATGAGTTCTCGTGGCTCAATGAGACTAACCTGGATAAATAAAGGCTAAATGAAAAAAAAAAATGTCTGTGTTGGTGGGGAGACTGACTCCAGTGGTCTTCTGTGCAGCCTTCACCACTCTCTGCAATGCTTTTCTTTCACAGCCGTGATTTCATTTCATTTACCGCCATGTCCTGTCTTTTGTACTTCTAAAATGTGCTGTTGCTATACATTAAAAATGGCTTAAATGTAAACATTTGATGTGTTTTCTCTGTTCTTTTGTGAGCAACATTTATGAAGTTAACAATTTTTACAGTCTGTTTTAGGTACATCTTACACAACCTTTTTCAGAATTGGAATTGTAGATTTGAACATTTGTTTTTACTCCCAAAAATGAAATATGCAATTTGGCACCACAAAACAATTTTAAAATGTAGCAGCAATGAACAGATTAGACCAACTTTTATGTGCCCATCGAAGGGATGTATAACCCTCATCCATATGTTCATAAACTTTTTATTTTCCCACCCATAACTTCTGATCTGCTCAAGATAATTTATTGAAACATGATAACATGGTGTTGCAAACACTTTTCATCACCTCAGCTCTGAGGTCAAAGTCACAAACCAAAGTCAAATGTTATACAAGTATTTTTTTATTGTATAGATTGCTGTATATTATGTTGTTGACGAGTGTGCAATGTGCCGTATACAGTACTCTTGTTCAACAAAGTATTTATTTTGCTTAAAAAAAACATTTATTAGATTCTTGTTCCAACAGTTAAAAGAAACTGTTTCTTTGGCAGGGTCACCGTACTATTACAGTGCAACATCGCGGGGGGCAGGCCCCGCTGCCACTGCAACAGCCTCTGCCTACGATCGTCACTGACCCCTTCGGACGAGAGGAGAGGAGGTTGAAGAGCAGGAGATAAGGGAAGAAAGATAGCACCAGCACCGTTCAGTTAAATCTTGCCTTTGTGCACTCTACAACAAGAAGATTTTCAAATCTTTTTATTTTTTATTAATAATTCTGAAACCAACACACACAGGCATACAACACACACACTGCTTGGCTCCAGTCCGCTGAGGAGAAACAAAACCTATTTCAACAACAAGCTTGGACCATCTTGTATCATGCTAAGACTTTGAATCTTGTTTTAAACCATCATTTATGAAACCCACAAGGTGAGCAATCTTTCAAACTGGGAATATTTTAGAGCTGATTAGAGCAAAGTCACTTTTCAGACAGTATTTTTAGGACTTGACTTCAATCAGTTTTCTATGCCATTCTACACTGGAGTGAAGACAATCCAATCTGAATGACCAAAACCCTTCATGTCATCAATTTATTTTCTTTGATGTGGATTCAACACATCCAATCTGTGATCATGATGTTTAAAAAACAGCAGCATCTTATAGAAATGTTCACTGCCTCATACCTGTTTTTGTTGGATTTTCTATTTCAAACTACAACAAAAAAACTAGCTTGGGAGATATAATTTAGTGGAATTTGTACTGAAAGTTTGACGGGAAAAAAAGAGCAGAAGCAGAAAGGCAAACAAAGTGAATTAATGAATCAACGGAGCACCACAATGGTCTGATTTTCAACCAATCTGGAGCACCATATAGCATCAACCAGTCCATAAATGCATCTACAGCTAGTCTTTAAGTTTTTATGTAAAAAGAAAATGTAATTATTTTGAGCACTGTCAGATTTCTATGTTCAATCAGAAATTTAAAAAATGTAGTTTTCTTTGCCACTAATTATTGTCCTTGGAAAAATATTAAATTCAGTAAAAACTGGAATCAGCATTTTATGAATTAGCCAGAAAGCTGTGATTGGTGCATCTCTTGTTTAAAGAAAGCCAACTTTCATGCAAATAACAAAAGATGGTGAATGCAGAGATCTGGTGAAAGAACCACTTCGGTTTGTGTCACATGTGAAAGTAAAAGTCAACACTGACTATGTATTTTTCACCCTATAACTCACAGTTTTCTTGCATAATTTGCATGCCCTGTCACATATCCAAAATGACAGCTTTATGAATTTTTCCCATATTTATAAAACAATTTATGACTGAGATATGACTGTTTTCATTCATTCTGACTGAAATATTGTCCACTACCATTTCCAACCGCTAGATGGCACTCAAGTAGTATGGCATGCCATTGTGTCATGTAGTAGGTAAATGTGGCTATTAATGACACAATTGGCTTGCCGTAGACTGCCACCACTGTCTACCTGGAACAACCGTCAAATCAGCTGCATTTCACTGCGCCGCCCTGGTGAAATGCAGCTGATTTGAACATTAAACTGCATCTATTAAGTAAAAATTAAACTGAGACACACCTTTACTATAATTTCGAGCAAACAAATATTTGTTTTAGGTGGTTATCTTGTTAAGTTTCGAAGAAATGCACAGCGAGTCGTCCCTCTGTGCGTTCCTGCTTCCGCGTATCAGCTTTTGAAATGCAGCTGATTTGACCAATGAAGTGCATTTATTAAGGAAAAGTTAGACTCAGACACACCTTTACTATAATTTTGAGCAAACAAATAATTGTTTTTAAGTGTTAATCTTGTTAAACTCTTATTAAAGTCCTCCCGTTCACGCCCCCGCGGCCACCATTTGGCAGCCAATCGATTTAACGCGACGCGTCAGCGGTGACACATAATAGATGCGACGCATACGGTGAAGTGATGCATTTATGGATTTTTCCACTCAGACATATTTGGACTTATGCAACTTATAGGGTGGTGCGAAGTTTACGCCGGAAAATATGGTAAATTTTAGGTTCACAGTTGAAGCTTGATTAGCTTTAATGACACAGCCTGCTTTGTTAAAGTTAGGAAAATAATGTTTCAGATCAAATTTTAAAAAGTATTTTTTTTATTATACCATATTCTTAAAAGAGAGAAATTGATAACCAAGCCAAAGATGGCAACACAAGAAACTGCTCGACTGGCAAGCCAAAAAGACTTGTTTCAAATAAGTTTGCCTCAGCTCATCTTCAGCAGTTTTTACCTGCTGCATGTGCACACAGGTTCAAAGTGATAGAATAATTCCAGGCCTTACTTGGAGTTGGAAGTCTTGTTTATTTTGTGGTTCTTTTTGGTTGAAAATCATGATGACCAGCTCTGTACTAAGCTCTAATAATTCATCCATAGTTTGAGTTTGAAGAGGTGTGAATGCCAACAAAACAAAATCAACCCTTTTTCATAAAGCACAGCTTACAACTTGTTTAAAAATGAATAATTCAATTGTTATGTTTGCATCAGACCAAAAACTGTCTCCCACTGGGCCGTGACACTGGACAGGAAGGTGCTATCCTACTTCCCCAGCAATGTTTTAGAAGTCCTGATCAAGAGCTATTTATAAAGGAGAAGACACAGAGTAATATATTAAAAAGATTTTTTTCTGTGCTGCACTCCTCGATGAGAGTAAATGCCTGTAATGATTTATAATAGTGTCATGCTGTTGTGCTAGAATAGTGATAGGATGATGATGATGATGATGACGATGATGATGATGCAGTGAAATATGAACAGCTAAAAGAAGTTTTTGTTTTGAAAATGCGATTTTCATTTTTATAGTTGCCACCTGACACTGGTGCCACTAAATGAAGGCAAATAACAAAAAAGGAGCAGCACTGTTTTCTGTTTTCTCACAATAATTCTGTTTCTCTCTTAAACTCCCCAAAGATGGCTCCCCCTAGTGGATCGGCTGACTAAAGCACAAAGAGATTCAATCAGTTTTTTAAAGGTGCCAATTTTGACCTTGTTCAAAAGTTCTTCTCCCCTTTTTTGAGAGTTTGTTTTTGTAAATGTTTGTGCTGTTTGACACCCTGACATATTTCCTATAAATCATAAAAAAAGAGTTTACTCCTGTTTTGTTGGGTCCCCTCACATCAGTTCTGCGCTGTGACAATGCTCGACACCAGGGTTGAGGCCTTACTCATCACGTTCAGAATAAAACAGATTTATCCTTCAGCACTGATCTGAAATCAGTGTGTTTGTCCCTCACAAAAGTCTGAGACACAACTCGGAAATCAGTAAAAGAAAAATCACAACGCCAGTTTTTGGGTTTAGATGTTGGTGTTTTAGTTTTTCACTGATTAAAAAGAAAACTTTGAAGGTACGCACTGTTGTTTTAGCCATTGTCTGCAGGTTTTTATTTTCTTGCTTCAGCTGATCATTATTGCAGTTGGTTAGTTTTATCAGCAAATGCACTGGAGGCACCAAATCAATGATGTGAAACAAAACAAGGACGTATGAATCACGAAACTGCTGTTTGGCTCTGTGTTTTTTTTAATTAACAGTAATGGAGTTGATCTTTTAACCTTAAAAGTTGTGCATAAGCAACTCTAAAGAAGAAGATTCCAGTGACGGCCCGCACGCTGAGCCTTTCCTCACGTCCACCTTTGTCTTTCTATTCTTCTAAGGCATTATTGAACCTGAACCACACCAGCTGAAAACAAGGACAGTGCCTTTAGTTTTGTACGTCGACGCCCCTCTCATCGACCACGAGTCTCTAAAATGAAAATAAACGTCCTCCCTGCTACTCCTCCAACTAACCTCTTACCATCCAGACAAACTCATATATAATTTTAAAAAATATTTACACAAAGAAACATTTCAGCAGCAGAGTAAAACAGTCATTTTGCAGTTTTGATAGCACATAGAATGGATGCAAAGTCCTGAAGTGAATGTGGAGTGTTCAGTCACAGATCTGCAGTACTTAAAATGATGCTCAGTATCTTTACCTTATAAGTAAAATTACACACTGGATAGCATTTCTAAATGCTAACGGACAAATAGGACTAAGAAATGGACCAGTCAGGTTTGACACAACCCATATTTTTCTTGAGACTTTAAACAGCAACCAAAAACAGAGTTGCACAAGTCTGCACAGCCTGAAGCTAACACTTTGTTTGCATCTTCTGATTTAGTTTGTAGTCAGCAGCTACACCTAGACACGAGTTTTGCCTCCTCTTTCCTCATAAAGGGCCTTAAATATGTCAGATTGTAAAGACATCTCTTATGCACAGCCCTCTTCAGGTCAAATCCAGACACCAACTCTATGATCCTTTTTCTTCTGGTGAAGCCATTCTTTTGTTGTTTTGGATGCATGTAGAAAAACGAAATGAAGTCCTTTTTCATAGTCCATAGTCCTTTTTCAGTCCAGATACCAGAAGATTTTAGGCAAAAATAAAAGATGCTATGGACGGTTCTTCATTCCATTAAAAAAAAAATTAATAAAAATAAATACAAACACACAATTCTGTCTGAAGACAAGCAACCGTAAGTAATTAACAAGTGTGTTTCCAAGTGGACTGAAGGCTGTAAATAAATTAATTTCCTCACGGAAAAGATTAGTTTCAGCATGTGCAGATTCATACAACCAGATAATTAGCAGTATATATATTTTCTCGTGATTGTTTTCAGTTGAAGTGCACAGAATTTATATCACAATAAAATGGGGGCGTGGTGGCGCAGAAGATGGGCCTGTGATCGGAAAGTCGCAGGTTCAACTCCCGGTACCATCAACATCAAAATGTGGGTGGAAAAGGTGGAACACCCACACCTCCCTCCACCCTCATTTGCCCCACCCTGGGCCCCTGAGCAAGGCCCTTAACCCCCTCCATCTGCTCCTAAACAGGTCTCTCTTGAAAACGAGTTCTCGTGGCTTAATGAGACTACCTGTATAAATAAAGGGTAAATGAAAAATAGGACACCTGGCGTTTTCCCTGCGTTGACTCTTTCTATCCATCATAGCAGCGTTTGTGAATGGATCTGTGACTGAAACATCTAAACTCATGATAACACCACCTACTAATCATGGCACATGTACTTGACAAGGAGAAAATGTAGAAACAAAAATGCACAACACTTTTTGCACAACACTGAGCAAAAAGGCTTCTAACCACAGATCAAACCCAAACATACGTTTGTGTAAACACATTGACTGACAGTTGTTCTCCATGATGAGGTAAACCCGGCCAGGCTTCTTGGGTCCATTCACCCAGATCATCTACATCAAACGGGCT